CCCCCTCCCTCCAGTTATACCACAGTTTAGGTGTTTTGACTGTCAGGTGTTGCTTCTAAAATGTTTAGGCCAGTTTTGGGTGTTTTGTATAGGATTACTTTATAACCAATTTAATATTGTATGTTAATCAATGAACAAGACTAGTTTGTTCCGAAGCCAGCAACACACGCAGACACATGTTTTAACACACACGCTTGAATTTACCAGGAGACTGAAGTCGTCTCATGTGTGTATCAGCCATTGATCTCCCTCACCCTTAGAGCTAAAGGACAAACAGACTGCTGCTGACACTCTGAGGATGTTTTGTTTTTGTGTTTGCATATTTAACTAACTTCAGATTATTTTCGTCTCATGCACCAAATATAACTCCTTCATCATTTATGGGCTCTAAGGATCCATGAGGTTTCATAATGTGTTTGTGCTGAAGTGTTTAATAGGAGAACCAATCTGATATTAAAGAGAAATGTGTTTTATAAATGTGTGAAAATTGCATGTGCTTTCAAACCTCCCCCTTGTTTCAAATTGCAACCTGCAATCAGAGTTACGTACGTAAGCACGGTTCTCTGAATTTCAGATGAGGGTAATACATGGTTTTCTGTGGCAGTCAGTATGAATGAAAGAGTGGTGCTCTGAAACATTCATGTTCTTTAGCAGAGTGTTAAAGCCTAATCCACAGATTTTCCATAGATTATTTTCTGATCTAGAATACAGAATCTCTTGTTTTTATCGAGAAAAATATAACACCATTGACTATGTGAGAAAAGTGGTTTTGGTGTGAGGTTACTTATTGAGTTCACCTTTAGGGCCAAGCAGCAGAAATTAGCCTGAATACATTCAAAATGGTTCACCCTCTGGGGAGCATTGTGCTCTGTACATGTTATCACAATCTGCTCATCAGATATTTGCTATGTGGAAGTTTTAAGTTGGCCTGATGCTGGAAAAAAGGTCAGGATCATCTCTTGTAAATCATGAATAACTATTTGGGCCACATGCATGGGCAGGGTTAGACTTCTGGAAGAGGTCTCTATGGCTTATGTGATGAGAGGTGGCTGACCTGATAGATCATCCAGTCAGAGTCCAACGTAGATCTCTGAGTGGTGTAATCTGCTTTAGTGTAAGACATCATCATGGAATGACAGTTTTAGGGAACGCTTTAGGGCGTCCGGTCGCTTGCTCAAGGGCACCATGGCCCGGGAGGGGGGACCTAAATACTCCATATTTAGGTCTGTTCGGGGACTTGAACCGGTGACCCTACGGCTCACAGTCGAAGGCCCTACTGACATAAACACTAATTGTCAGTGAAAATAATAAATACATTTTCAAAAATGTGAATAAGGGAAGCAGCTTTCAATCTGCTCAATGGGACACATTCCCACTGACACAAGGTAAAAAAGAAAAATTGAATTAGGACTGAAACATCTGCTGAAACACAAAGTCAGCTCCTACCTGTGAAAAATTACTGAAGTTCAATGTTAGATTATTATAAAATATACATGCTATTTTCTTGTCAGATAAACTACAAAGATACTGGAAGGGCCATCGTACATGTTTCCTTTCCTTCAGTGTCCTTTGTTCTGTGTTCCCAGCAGACAGATGAAGCCGCTCAGACAGACAGTCAGCCTTCATCACAGACGGTCCCTCAAAGCTCCGACAGCAAGGCCCAGCCCAAGAGACTGCACGTATCCAACATCCCCTTCAGGTTCAGAGACCCAGACCTCAGGCAAATGTTCGGCGTGAGTACTGAATGAAATTCATTAAATGTTAATGTTGATGTTTTACATTTGGATTCAAACAAAAAACAGAAATAAAAAATAGTTGCGTTTAAATGTTCTGTTGGACCACAACAATATAAATCAATCACTGAGAGTTTTCTCTATTGTTTGTCTTCACAGCAATTTGGCAAAATCTTAGATGTGGAAATCATCTTCAACGAGCGAGGTTCTAAGGTACATGGTGTTTTTTGTGTTAGCATGTTTAAAAATTATTTTGTTATGGTCCAGAAAAATTGGCACAGCGAAGTAACACTGTTGGCTCTGATTCTTTGTGTTAGCTCAAATGTTCTTTATAATTCTCTATAAAAAACCTCACTTTTTAAACCCAAAAGCTAATATTAGTGTTGAGTAGTGTTTTATTGAAATCTCCTCCTTAGAAGAAATTCCTTCTTTCATAGACTTAAGTCTGTCAAAGATTAAAATCACTTCCTTTCAGAATATTATATATGTTTTTCTGTTCATATCTTGTGTGCTATACGTTTGATTATTAGTGTCATCTTTTGTATTATCTTTGCTGATGCCATGCCATTATTTTTGGTGCATTTGATTTACTCTCTTGTACTTCTTTAGACAAATCTTTTTTCCCAACTACATTGCCAACATGGGAATATTGCAGTGTATAATTTATATCTATCTACATTATGCAATAATCATAGACCTCTGCTATGAAAGCAGACATGTATGCATGTTATTAACCACTTGAGACGGGACATTGCAGGTAATGAAAGGGGAAACAGAGTGTGAGGCTTCAGTTCCAATCACTAACCATTGTGAATAAAATGTCTTACAGACAGTATTCCATTTTTCATTGTTCGCTTATACATTTTTACTGACTTATGTTCTATATGAATTAAAATGGCCGTTCACAAGGTTTTAGCTCCCAACAGCCATGGTCAACCATTGCAACAAAAACGACAGGCTGTCAAGCTTTGCATTTCTGAATATGACAAAGCAGTGTATGGGGCTCTAGTGAGAGCGATAATAAATATCAAAGTTGGGAGGGTTGTATCTTCTAATCACCTGCAAGGAATGGTTTGCCTGGGGTGTTATACTAGCTGCAGTATGCAATGCAATGTTAGCATTAGTAAAACCCCATTCCAGACTTGAACATCCACTGCATACACAGTATACACTTACAGAGTTTGAGCTTGCGTCTGCAAACATAGACCACAAAAACAACAAACAAACTTGATATGTTGCCTAGAACACTCAGGTTTAGCCTCATTCTTTTAGCATGCTATCATTTTTGTAGCACTTGGGTGCAAATTGAAAACCCATTAGAAAGGTTACCACTTTAAAAGGATCCAGCCAACTACTCAAAGTTAAATTACGGCCAACAAAATCAATGTTCTCTGACTAAGAATGGCAATACTGATGTCGCACCCGTACAACCAGAAATCGTATGTAACCATGTCGTCTGCAGGTATAGATTGGTGCAGGACTTAGTCCTGAAACCCATAAGTGAGTCAGCATTTGAACACTTTCATTTTCATTTGGTCAGATGTCTGAAATAATATCTGTGGTTAAAACACGCTTTAGAGATATTCATTATTTGTCCATAAATTATGTCATTAAATACACCATTTGTGAATGAACCAAGCTTAGCAGTGGTGATAAGGTCGTAGACTGTCTATAGCCTTAATTATGACTTTAATTCTGGCGATTGCATTAATGCTTCAAAAAAAGTATGATTAACGTGTGTTTCTCAGAGATGTTATTTTCTGCAATATTCCAAAGTCCAATGAAAAATGTCATTGCTTTTTGTCTAGGGTCTTGCCTTTCGATGCTAACTTCCTGGTCAGCCTAAAAATGTATCTCATCACTGTACCACTATGTATTAAAGAATCTAAGGGGCAGGGCTTTTTAAAGGGTCTGTCTCCTCTTATCAATGATTTGCATTTTTGCCCAGACTTGTAATAATATTGTATATTGATTAATATAGCATTCTGAATAGATACTTGTGTGATCCACTGTGCTTATTTATTGAATCAGGAGGTTGTTCACTGTAATGACGAGTATCACATGTGAAATATAATGTGCATGTTGTTCTTGCCTCTCTCCGTCCTGCATGCAGGGTTTTGGGTTCGCAACGTTCGAACATAGCGTGGACGCCGACAGGGCCAGAGAGAAATTACACGGAACCGTGGTAGAAGGCCGTAAAATAGAGGTGCATGTTCTCAAATACTTCTTCCTTCTCCCTATCCCCCTTTCCCCTGTGTGTGTGTGTGTGTGTGTGTGTGTGTGTGTGTGTGTGTGTGTGTGTGTGTGTGTGTGTGTATGTGTGTGTTTGTGTATTTGTGTGTGAGCGTTTGACTGACGACTGCCACATCCCACTTCAAGCCATCCAATCCGTATCGCCTCCCTTTCATTGTGCATTTTCATTAACCAAACACAAATAATATCCACATATTATATAGAACAACATGATGGTATGATTAAGACCTTGCTTTTTTTATTATTAGTTTCTTTACATTTTTTTTCCCTTCTCCTGTTTTCCTTGTTTTTGTACAGCTGAGGCAATTGGCTTGACCAAAGGTTTAAGTGTGAAAGTCGACACGACCAGGAATTAAAAATTTATTTTGGCCAATATTTTCTATGTTTATTGATGAAAGAAGCTTTCCCGCAGAAATCCAATTTTGCTTATCCACGGACAGAGGAAGTACTTAAGAACTTGAAAGACATGCAAGGTTTACAGCTAAATACTGAATCAATCAATCAATCAATCAATGTTTATTTATATAGCCCAATATCACAAATGTTACATTTGTCTCAGTGGACTTCACAGTTTGTACAGAGTATCAGTATGACAATATGACACCCTCTGTCCTTAGACCCTCACATCGTACAAGGAAAAACTTCCAGAGAAAACCCACAGTTTAAAGGGAAAAATGGGAGAAACCTCAGGGAGAGCAACAGAGGAGGGATCCCTCTCCCAGGACGGACAGACGTGCAATAGATGCCGTGTGTCAATTGAAAAGATAATACATTTGCAACATAGGTAGTCCAAATGTTTGGAAATGCATGTGTGTATAATAGGAAGATGAACCCACGAGGATATCCATCCAGGACTTATGATCCAGGACCACAGCCACGACTCGCGATCCAGGACTCGCGATCCATGACACAGGACCGCAGGATCATCCATGACTCCGGATCCCGGCGTATATAGACACCAAAAAGAAAGAAATTTGGGGAAGCTGGGTTAATCGGAACATGAGAGTACACAGGTATAGACAGAGAGAAGGAAGAAGTAAGATGTCCCCCGACAAACTAAGCCTATATCAGCAAAAC